AAAAAAAAGTTTACATAGTCCGCTTTTGCAGTACTCCGGCTGTTGTCGCGTAGGTGCAAGAGCGGGTGTGGACTCCGGATTAAATGAAATACTTTGTGTTCAGACCCTAGTTCACACTTGTCAGGTTGTTTGGAATTCAGTAGCTTCAATTCAACTTGCTGTTCAGAAGGCGAACATTTTCCTTGATGTCATCGAATGAGAAAGGCCATTTCGTGCTGGTGGCTGCGTCACTGTTGCCTTCTTATTAGCCCTTCAGATCCGACACGCGTCTGAATAATAGTTAAGATTCCAGCCCGTACCGCAAAGAAAACACCACACTTCACCATTACAGAGATAAACTGGTTAACGCTGTTTAAGGGAATAATCGCTGTTTACAGTGAGAACCATAGTTCGTCTAAATTACATTTAAGAATTCAGTCCGTACCGCGAAGAAAACACAACACTTCACCATTACAGAGATAAACTGGTTAACGCTGTTTAAGGGAATAATCGCTGTTTACAGTGAGAACCATAGTTCGTCTAAATTACATTTAAGAATTCAGTCCGTACCGCGAAGAAAACACAACACTTCACCATTACAAAGATCAACTGGTTAACGCTGTTTAAGGGAATAATCGCTGTTTAAAATGAGAATCGTACGAAACACATAAATACAAAATGTATAATTATTGATTGTTGAATCAGGTGGTACGTATAGTTACCACTGTACTTCGAAAGGTTAAGTGAATTATAAACTTTGCTGGAAGAAACAAGAAAGGATTATCTAATTGTGTGAGGAGGGGAATGAGGAAAAGAAATCACCTAGTGCACTTTTAAAAGGGTTGGCTTCAGGAGACAGAGAAGTAAGACAAATTATTGGGTTCGGTCGAAATCAGAGTACACAAAGCACTTACTTGGCTCAGGGAAGCAATATCATTGCGATTAGGACTTCTAAATCACCTGAGTTGTCTTGGTAGAATGTTCAGTGAATGATAAATTTGGAAGAATGCCGAATGAAACTGTCGTGGCCTCATTTAAGGTCTGCTTCTAGGGACTGAGGAAAATCGCGAAGAATTTCAGTCAGAAAATGCTGCTCTACAGACCGAGATTTGAACCGGGGACCTTCCAAATACATGGAAGGATTCCCCGATCATTTGACTGTGGCACTCAGTTATTTGAATGTTTGTCATGTCTGTGCTAATTTTGGTGAGTAAGGTTATAAATATTTGTTTCAGATTCTTGTGGAATGAGTGATAAGAGGTACAAGGAATACACGACAGGCTAACCAATCTCTTTGGATTTCGTCAGCCGATATAAGAGGTATGTTTGCATTTCGCGAAAATTTTAGGTTATATTTCGCATGATTTTGTATAACTACGTTTTCATATTTGGATATTTATTTCATTTATTTATTATTTAGTGTTCTGTCTGACGACATGTCCATATGAACAGGATCCTTCCATCCTTTTCTCGGACTGGGACCTGTTCATATACGTTCTTGGCAGATGATCCAGAAGTGGTTTGCCATTGCCTTCTTCTGGGTGTGAATGGAGTAATTGTTGGGATGCCACAGAGGAAAACTCCGTGTTGCCTAGACCACGCCCTTGCCCAACACAAGTCATAAATTCGCCGCCGGGAATCGAACCCGAGACCCCCAATTTGGATATTACCTGTAGTTAAGATAAGATGTACTCTTTCATCGTCAGTCACCTTCCGAAACGTCGAATATGTTTATTTCTAGACAGTGGAAAACCTCCAAAATTAAATTATCTTTTAACTGTAATAGATCATTGTAGCATCTATAAGTACTTACAGACTAACTAAAATTCCATGGTGCAGGATATTAATCGAGTAGTTTACAAAATGTTCGGTTAATTAAGATCATTCTTCCCTTTGTGGAGCCTAAATTTTTATATTATTTTGGTACGTTTTTTCGTCTTTGCATACCATACTCATGCAAAGGGAGAGAGAGTGTAATATATATAGGAGTTATTGAGGACCAAGCATTCGGGACTCGGTGACTCTTTATTATTACTATTCCGGAACATTCTTGTGCTGACAATTCCAAAATTATATCGCCACTTTATGCGTTCCGTAGTAACTTGTAGTGGAATCATATACATACCAAGTATCACTGCGTTAACACGTTGATGTAAGACAATTCTGGCCTGGAAAAGTGTACAGTCGATTGAAATTTCTCCATCTTCCTGCATAACGCCACTCGGGTGTCAGCTGCTGCAGAGGTTCGGAAGTAAAGTTGTGAGACGCAATATTAGCTTGCAGGCGTGATTCACAGTGACAGCTGTTAGCAGTTCGTTGCAACAGTGGCTTACAGGTCGACACGCAGAGGAAAGTTGCTTGGAATTCATGTTTCTAGATACAGACTTACATGGATTTTAACATGACATTAATAGGGTTGTTAAATGAAGTGGAACGTAATGACACGTCATGTAACACGCGTTCAGAAGCACAAAAAAATGCTTAAATATTCTCGTCTGAAATTGGTATACGAGGATTAATATTATCAGGCATCGCAGACAAGGATTTTGGTGTTAAGTTGTGAACTGCGTGAATTGAGTCGTGATATTGGTATTACGTGCTCAGGATACGGTCAGAAGGATGGCTTTTGTGAAAACGGTGATGAACCGTTCGATTTCGTGAAAGTGGGGAATTTTTCTGCCGGTCGAATAAATACAGACTTTTTAAGAGGTGATATTGTTGCGTCATATTGTGATGATTATAATTGTTTATTTTAACCGTCTAATCACAATAAAATGTTTTATTAAATATTAAAATATTATTACTATAATTAACATTTAATATTTAAAATATATTAAAATATATATTAAAATGATGCTCTTTCTATCGAAATGTTCGATGCTCTAATTGTAAATCGAACATTTCGATAGAAAGAGCATCATTAGAGTTGACCGCGGAATTGGGCATGTTGGGCATTTTTAACGTTTGTAGTTAATAAAGTTATAATCGGAATTGGACAAGTACCTTCAAAATAGGAAGAAACGTACGTCATTCGGAACAGGTTCATGATTTAAGTTTGTGTGTCATTATTTCCCTTAATTTTGTTATTATCAGTGAACTATTATCGATTCCAGGTAGACGTTTTTCTCACATGTTTGTCTGCCATGTTTCTCTCTCTCTATCTCTCTCTCTGTGTCAAAGCTGTGCAGACGTATGGGGAAGTGTAGGTTCAATTCCATGCATTCTTAACCTGGGCTGTAGATATAGGAGAGTGGTTATCTTCACGCTTCGGTCGCTTTAACCCCCCGAGGCAAGAACCATGACTTCCGTTGGATAGGAGGCTGGGTAGTTGGCGATCCCTGGTGTAGGTTTGTGGCAACTACACAATGCAAATGCGGAACACACGCGGCTGGTATGAAGTGTTGTGACGATACGGCGTAAAAAATGCGTGTTCCTTGGGGTAATCGAGCTCTTTTTCCTTTGTGTCGGCGAGTGGATATGGGAGTAGAGCTAAGAACGAACTCGATTCAGCTTTTAGGATTAAAAAAGTTTGATTAACTTAAATTTTTATGTTCCAACTATATTCCTCTATGAACACCACCCATTCCTCAATTTTACCTCGTGAATATATCCCCTACCCATGAGTTCTATCGATTACCTCTCGATTTCCATAGCAACCCGGTTTAGAAGGCGAAACAATTGAAAAGCGCCCGCTGTGAAACCCTTCGTCCAAGGATCCTGTTTTTGTTTTTTTTTGCTGAAATTCCATCGTGTCTCTCTTTATATAGCACAAATTAGACGTATTTACTGTTAGTGTCATCGCCGAGATTCAGAAAATGTATCACTGAACTTGCTTTAAGCTTTGGAGCTTTTTTTTGAGAGAGGAGAAAACTTGTACCATTCACCATATGTCGTGGTTAGTAGTAAATGCTCCCATCTTCGTGTTTATGTGATCTTTGGTTCGACATTTGGCCCTGAGCCCGAATACCGTGGTATTCGCCAGTTCTTCTTAAAAGTTATTTTCAAAATACTGTACCTGTTCTTGCTCTGCAAGGCCTTTGGTCTTCAGTTCCGCCGTAGTTCGCCTTTTCGATTCTGCTGTATCGTAGGATGCAGTTGGGACGTGTCCAAGTTGGTTTGCGTGGTAAGTGGTAGAGGAATGGCAGGCAGCCAGAGGAGAGGAGTAAATAAATAAATGCATAAGGAAAATGAAATGAAAAGTAATGTAAATAAACCATTGCGGGACCCGGTAAATAAATTGTAAAGGAAATTAAACGGCAGGATAAAAGCGAATCGAATACAGGGTGTTATCGAATACAGGGTGTTACCGAATAGAGAATGTTATCGAATACAGGGTGTTATCGAATAGAGAATGTTATCGAATGGAGAATGTTATCGAATACAGGGTGTTATCGTATAGAGAATGTTATTGAATACAGGGTGTTATCGAATAGAGAATGTTATCGAATGGAGAATGTTATCGAATACAGGGTGTTATCGTATAGAGAATGTTATTGAATACAGGGTGTTATTGAATAGAGAATGTTATCGAATACAGGGTGTTATCGAATATAGAATGTTATCGAATGGAGAATGTTATCGAATACAGGGTGTTATCGAATACAGAGTGTTATCGAATAGAGAATGTTATAGAATACAGGTGTTATCGAATACAGGGTGTTATGTGAGGAGAATAGGAAGCAAAATGGAAGTGAATAAAAATGGAGAAGGAAAGGAATGGGTGAGCGAGGAAGGGACTGTGGTGAATAAATAGCGAGATAATAAAATGAAAGCAGAAGTTAATAAAGAAAAATTGACAAGGATAAGTAGAATCTGATTCGAAAGAAAGAGACATTGAGAAATAAGCGAAGAGGCCTCTGTCTCAATTGTGTCTAGTTTGATATTCAGACTGTGGCCGGGATGTTAGAGACCAGTGATGCACACAAAATTTTGATCGGGAAACTTCTTGGGGAATAAACCCACTTTTAAAACCGAGGAGATGTGAAGTCGATTAAATTTGCCGGGGGTCGTGCTCAGTGGTAGGTTTTCGTATCAGCGGTGTTGAAACTTTCGGTTCTGCTAGTTAAACATGTATAGGCTTAAATTCAGGGCAAAACTCTGTATTCTAAGTACGAAAACAAAGACGTCACAGGAGCGGCTTTAGGCTACCAAGTTTGCGAACAACTCAACTGACGCACTAGTGTATAAGGTTGTGAGGCGTGTGGTGTATTGGCCTGGTTTCGAACGCCACCACAGTATGGCGTCTTTATAAGCAGAGTTTGTGTTTACGTTGCCATGGTGATTCCCATGTGAGCTGGTAGAACAAGTTGTGGTGTGTCTAGCCACGCTGTTATTATTAAAGACGCCGACGACATATCACAGAATAACGTAGACGGCTCGTAACTGGTGTAAGTTAATAGTTTGGAAAATAAATTTAGGCTAGATAATAATGGAGGGAGATGATATCGTGGTAGTGTCTGAATTAAGCGAAATTAACAGTTTATATTTATTCGAATTTATGTTTTAATTAATTAACGCTGTTCGTATCTCAGAGTATTTAATGTTAAATGATAAGTTGATAGATGAATAATGAATTGGACGAGACATGGAAGGAAACGGCCACGGTCTAATTTGAAGTACCATCCCGACATTTTGATGGAGTGACTGAGGAAAGCCCTCAGTCAGGATAACCGTGATTTTGAGTGGGATGTTTTTTTGTTGTGTCTTATTGTTTTTGTTGTGTCATTTGTTGTTGTTTTGTTCTGTCTCTGTGTTGATGTATCTCATTGTTCTGTTGTGTCTCATTGTTCTGTATCTTATTGTAGGTCACTGACACCGGGTATAAACCCATTTGCAGTTAATAATAAATATATATATTAGTTGCAGACTGCTTGCACCCTCCGCGCCCTCCGTACGAACGCGACTTCTGTTCAAGAAATAATTTTTCTTTCGTATCTGGTTTAATAAACCCCACACTTTCATCTCGACTTTGAGGTGGTTTCATTTTCATGGAGCTTCTTTGTTATGGATGCACAAACTTTAGTTTATTTGTTACGAAAGTGCTTTTGAAAAAACTACTCACGTACTTCAGCATATTAATGATCGGTCTTTGTCTTTTAGTATTACCGCGGAGGTGAGTAGAATAACGTGGACATTTTCCTTTCTTTGTATTTTTTTGTCTCGCAATAGAAGAGGGAAGGAAAAGCAAACAGAGAACACAATAACAAAAGAAGAAAGGGAAGAATGTGAGATGGCGAATGAAGGGCGATCGACTAGGGAGATTGATGGATGTGAAGGTATCAGGAGAGCTACATATAGGAACCATCAAGAAGGCAGTTTAT